CAGATGCGTGAAACCTCGACCTGGCAGTACCATAGCGTTGACATCGAGCAAATGCTTACACCCATCTAGGTGTATTTCAGAGTTGCAAATTTGGCTTCGTTAATTACCCACGCCATCAATTACTGTTGACGTAAAACCCTAATCTGTGCCACGTTGCGCTTCAACATTTTTTTGTTTCGATTCTAATGTAAAAGTTCCACTGGGGATTGAAAATAAAACTGACAAGCAAGATTAATTTTTGACATTATTGAAGAATGATATCCTGCAAATGCGCTTCTTTCAATTTGCAGTATTTTAAAATTAAAAACGAATTAGCATTTGCTTTAATTTTGCTGATGTAGATAACAAATTATTGAAGGATTTAAAAAAGGATGATCTGATTTTGTTGTGTCCTTAACGAAATAGCAGCCCTTGAGCCAATTCTGACAGAGTCGGGTTATTTTTCTGCTTGGGCTGCCACATTTTCACGGAGTGAGATGCGTCACAGTCACTGCATTAAAAACGAATGACGCTGTTTTGAAACCCGATTGTCAAAAAATTAAATAAGTGAAATATGCTTTGAACTACTGAAATATTGCTATCACACTAATCGACGGCACGAAATCTACTGAGTCAACCACCAATGAAAATTTAATTAATGCTCCTTAGTGATTGGTGCAGTGGTTGAATTTCTTTGCGGCTTCTGATGTGAGCTGTGACTTTGAAAATGTTTTCAACCACGTAAAATTTGCATGAACGTTTAGTTCAAAGTTGACCTGCTTTCTAAAATTGAGAACTAACCACACTAGCAGTCTTTGCATCGCTAGGATGAACTACACAGCCTCCTGACTTCAAAAGATGATTCCCAGGGGAACACATCACTGAGCCTGTGATCTTGTCTGCATTCGCCTAACCAGAGGCGGCTCACAAGAATGTCTCAAAAAAACCAGACTCGAAGGGAAACTTCCCCATGCCTATGTGAGATCACAACAACTGACAAATGGCAGAATCACGTAAAGAGCCACACTACTCTGATGCATTTGGTTCAGTCTAGTGCGCAGTTTTGTACACTTGGAGAGGTCTGATTTGCAGACGCTTACGTGTGTAGATAGAAAGACTGAGGTGGGAGGGAGGGTCAAGCAGCCTGTAATTTAGACCCAGAGTTGACACAAAAAACTGCCGTATTTTTGAACAAGTCAAATCTGAAGCGTTTAAGAATGAGGTGTGAGACCAAATGAAACTAGTATTTAAACGTGAAGAGACAATCGGAGGCATTAGAGGCCATACATTCGAGAATACTCCTTTAAGTAACTGAAAACGTTTGTCCAGCGTTGATGAAACACCGGATGAAATTTTCAGTAAATCGTTTTTTGTGCTGATCGGAAACTGTCGAATTTGAATTTTAATTGTTTTACTCTTGAAAAAAAAACTATTTTTCTGGAAATGTGGTTCGAAAGCTACCACACACTGTTCAAAGTCGAAGAACTGCCTCTGATTTTCCTTTTCAAGTCTGCATTGTGTTCGTTATCAACCAAACCGTTGAATTAAATCGCCGCAAAATGAGCTCAAAAAATCATCTCACTCCAAAACCCTTCTCGGACATTTTTTTCAAGTTTGGCAACCAGCCTGCAAGAAGAAGAAGAAGTGAGCTGACACCTACCACACATAAAAAAATTCAGCCGCCCCGGCTGTTTTAGCCTGACCTCAAAATCTGCTGCATATGGCGGTCATAGCCAAGACCACATCGAGATTGCCATCAATTTGCACGCGGGACATGTGCCCAAGCAGTTGGCTGCAGAGGAATTAGCCAAATGATTAACACTAAGTACTAGCGTTTTAAACTGGACGAGGAAACTCTTTTGCCACTTGCAGATTATTATACTAAGAAAATCTTGCACTTCTGTGGCCAAGACAGGATCCATTGGCAACTCAGCAATGTTCGTCTGTTGGCCAGATTTGTAAAATTGCCTGGATATTGTTCAAAATCTCGTGGTCACACTTACGAATCTCCTGTGTGGATTATTGCACCCGTTGAAAACCGTTGCGTTGTTATGTCCACGCCATGCCACTTCTTGCTAATCCTGGAATCCAATTCCGCGTTTTTGGATGCCAACATTTACCTTAACTATAAATGACCCAGTCCAATGGCCCGATCATTTCTCTTGACTTCTCCGAAGGAAGACATCATATCAATTCCAGAAGAACTGAAATTGGCCTAATTTTGTGTTTGTCAGCTGATTCTGGCGCAACGGTAGAACCAGAAGGTGGATTTTCTTGTCACACGCATGCGCCAATTAGGGAATTGATGGAAAGGATGATCAGATAACCATTTGTCAAGTCATGCAGATGACGACTCAGCCAACTGCACACCCTGGAATTATCAGCTAAGTTATTCAAAACCACACTAACTTTCTGACTGCACGTTGGTTCGCCATATGAACCTATTCCTTATCGTAAATCCACATGTGTTGGATTGTTGTGTGCGCCCCAGCAATTGGTTCACACCTCGTTTTAAAGAACCCTGCAGAATCTTCAAACACTGCCTCTAATCTAGTCACCTTATTCGTGGATTTCGGCCGAGTGTTTGTCTACACTCCTCGTGTAAGTGGTTTAGGCGTTCTCATTGAGGAGACGGCAAAGTCTTCCAGCAAACTTGCATTAAAAAGTAAGCACAACATTTAAAAACCGAAACTCACAGATCATTCTAGAAGCGCACAAATCTTTTTAATAATAATGTCTGCTAAAATGCCCTAACTATGTGGTTATTGGCCACCTTGAGACCAGTTTAGACTGGATAATTACAGTTCTCAAATTTGAGTGACATCTTACATAAAAAGGTTTTAAGTAAATGCGAAAAATTAAACTTAGAAAACAAGGTGGTGATTTTTAACTGACTTTTAGGCCACATCTGTACGGCTTTTTGAAATAAGTTGATTTTTAAAATCTTCTTCCCATTTGCAAAAAATCAATTCATGAGACATTGAAACGGGTACGGTCATGCAAAATGTTGGCTTGTCATTAGATGATATCTTCTATTTGCTTTTAAAAATATCCGAAATTAAACGACGGATTGGCTCCTACTGCTTATAACGGCAGACAATATGCGTATTTGTTAAAAAAACAGTTAAATTCAGATTTTGAATGCCATTATAATTTGCTTATTTGACCAATAATATGAGATGTTGGAGGGACAAATGCAATTACTCATTTGATCATGACATTTGAATTTCTGTGGCCTCAATTTTTTAACGATTTTCCAAAGGTCAGTATGTGTACCCCATTTCTACTTTGACGTTCAGCAAAGTAATTGATGCGAAATATGAAATTATCTTCCACCATCAGTAAAAACCAATCCGAAACTGCGAAGAACTATAAATGATTTCAGCTAATCTTATTTAAATTATCCCCTATTTTTTTCTGGTGTCAAAAAATTGTAGAAGGTGACGAGATGAAGATGGGAGAATGGAAAGATTGATGACGAATCCAGTGAGGATAGGCTGCTATAAGTTGTACTAGAACATATTTTTGAACTTCACTCGAGTGCAAGAACTACAAATAGCGGCATTTAGGCCTAAAATGATTGGCTGAATCGCATTTTAAGCAGATTACCGACATTTATCTATACAAGCACCAAACTTCTGAGGGCTGTTAGAATAAAAGCAACGAGTTTCAGATAAAATAAAATACCAAATAGTTTTCAAAAACTTTTCTTTCATGCGAACTGCGATTCACGCATAAATGAGAATACGAATTGTCCTTCAATGGAATAGAAACTTGTGTTGAGAAAAGTTAATTTACGGGCCAGTGGAAATTTGGGGTAATTAAACTAGCCACTGCTGCAAGTTAAACGTGTTGATTTCGAGTTCACGGTAGAATGATTTAATCTCAAAAGCCCAACTACGGTAATCAGCCAAGCCACAAAACTTAAATCAAATTCCCTGCGAGCGTGATGAGTTGATAGTATTAAAATTTCAATCAACCTACTGCCGACGAAGAAGGGTTTAAAAAAGATTAATTTTTTCTGGGTGGATGTTTTCCAAAAATGTTTAAATGTTTTCTCTCAGCATGGTTTCCTTTCGTAGATTTGATACTTGTTTGTAGCGGCTGACAGATGTTATATCCAATTGTACCGTAACGCCTTGCATTCCACTTGTAAATCCACCGATCAACAAAACCTCACCAGTTAACCAATATTCCCAACGCTATCGCAGACAAGATTTTTTTTACCACAATGACGACGGGAGATCGCATCTGTTTACTGATGCGATACCAAGGGGCAAAGGTATCAGCAACTGAATGACTCAGTTGGTGAGGCTATCTCAGAGACAGCTATTTCAAAATGAGATCAAAGGCACCTCAGTTTAATCAAGGATTGGCGTAGATAACTGCAACAATCGAGATAGCAAGTAAAACGAGTCATGAAGTGAGCGTGCAACAGATGGAGGCGATTTGTGGGTGGTTCAAGACGACAGAAAGTGCACGGATTTCGGTCCACCCCGCATCAAAACGAATCGCTTGCAAAAACACCTTCTGTAAGTTGGCCAAGTCCTACCGAACCCACGAAGCTCGGTTGCCTCCTTAGCCAATGGCCTTGCGCTCCGTGTGATGAGTAGCAAACCAAGCGCAAACTCCACGGTCATTAAGCAGTCTACGGTTGCAGACAAATTTAAAATTAACAAACGTGATTTCCGCTTGGTGCGGACAAAAACAACGAGCTTTCACTTGCTTATTGCCACGAATATACGGTTGGCCTCCACGTTAAACTAAACCATTGCGCCAAGACACTGGACGATAAGGAATCTGAAACTCAGAGTACTACTCAAGGTAAAATGACAGCTATATTCGCGCGATTTTACTAAGTCTGCTGAAAACCTAGTTATTAATGCGAAGAGTGGACATCTTTCGCATCTGATTGGTTGGAGTGTCCGGGTTTCAAAGTGATAAGGCCTACTAAGGGTCGAAATGAGAAACAAAATTGAGAAAAGCCTTTGTTACAAAATAAATGGTTTTTGTTGTTTTCTTTACATTTGCAGAGTATTTGTAGCGTTGCGAATGAAATCAATGAGTGCAATCGACCGCGTAATTTGAGAAAAGAGGGTCTCGTGTGCCACACCCTTGGCCGCCAGGACCGCTTCCACCAGCGCCAGCGGACGAGTGGCATCCACGTTGCTATATCCGCCCATGGTTGCCTTGGCAACGAACATGCCCAAGTCATCACCGCCAAAGTCGCTTTCCACGGTGGTGGCGGCGGCGGCGGGAGCTTTCGGAGGTCGCACTATTACGTCGCCATGGTAACGAAGCACGCTCTCCAGACACGCCGTCGCGAAGTCAACGTCCAGATTTCGGCGGAACCTGAAAAAGACACCACGCAAACAGGTAATTGGTGAGAGGATGCGCTTTTTGTCTGGCGCGCGTAACACGTAACCCGAATTCGCCAAGGTCACTCCAACCGCGCGAAATTTAAATTGTTTCAAGGGTAGCACGAACATGGACAAAAGGGTACTTACAAGTTACCCTCCAGTAAGGACAACAGCGCTGTGCAATTGAAAGTCAAATACCGAATTGATTAACTCGCATTTCTTTGGACTAAGAAACCAACGGAGTTGTCGATTTTCAACACAGCGAACGAGATTCTATATACCTTATTTCAAGTTTTCATTAGTTAAAAAACGGGCAACAAGTGTCACTCTTGACGTAAACTCAACCATGATAATTAAGGGTCGGCGTAGAGAGGTTAAGCTCAGTAAATCCAGAAAAGACGTTTAATACAATTTTGCCAGAAGAGCAAAACTATCAATCAGACAGGCCATCTTAGTCAACTACGGTGACGTGGTGACGCATGCTTCAATGGTGAGGTCTGGCACATTATCGTATCTTCACGACAGAGACTTCGTAGAGTCCAAATCCCCACAGCCAGCGAAATTACATCGCCAGACAACAGAGATTATGGCAAAAGTGTCTGTCCGTTTGATGTGCCTGTTTTGACCATGAACGGAATATTAAAAAAAAGTAGCACTAGTTTTTCCAGTCTGATTCTATCAACGTAGATTTTGCCGGAAAACTGCGAATTTACTAGCGTTGCAATTTCATGATGTCTGGTGGCTAGGAGATTTATCAAAAAACGAGTCAGCAAGTTGGGTGGCTGGGGTTGCAAGCGACTGCCGTTGCCGATGCCACATGCGTCCATCGAAATAGCAAAATTTTCACTGCCAGGCATTACAATACCCAGTTTTCGTGTGTGACATGATAGCAGACCACATCCGTTCACTTTTTTCCTGATCTTTGAGCATGATACGTGGAGATGATGCATAAACTGCAGTTTTTTGTGAGTGGACACCCACCATCCTCATACATCGACCAGCCCTCACCCCGTTGGCTGGTGCTCGCTTTGAGCGTGTCATCTCAAAGTCACACAAAACACGATAAAACACTTCTTAGAAATTTTTTTTATAGTGATAGACGGCCACGCTAGAGGAGACGTCGGGAACACAGCGAACACTTCCTGCACACTGTCGTTTTGGTGGATGACAAATTGCTGGCTTCAAGGAGTCGCCTGTGACACCTGGCAAACTTCATGCATCATATCGCGATGGCGTACATTCAAGCGCTATCGACGCCTACTCAGATACACCAACACATTTCAGCATACTCCCAGCATCATCTGGCCATTAAGTTCAATGCGACACACACATCTCCGGTGTTATTAACCTGCGAGACTACTTCAGGACCTCAAGCATCAGTAAAACGGACTAGTATTCCCTAGAACTGATTGTTGCAGGCAGAATTTGCATGCTTAGAAGACTCGAGACTGACCGATTAAGGAGGAGGGTGAGGAAGGCGGAGAGGCGGGCGTAGGGGTTGACTGCGATGACGGCGACGTTGTTGTCGTCCACCGCGTCTAGGGCATCCACCAGCTCGTCGCGAGGCAACACCAGCAGACGAATTTCGGCGTCCAGGGCGCTCGGATTGAGGCTGCGGTAGCGCGACATCACCTCATCACCTGCAACACACGACAGCACGACCGGTGTGGTTGCTTTGCATTGGCGATAAAGAGGCCAGCAAAACGGTTGGCAATAGATCGAAATGCAGACAGAAGGCGTGCATTTGGTGAGACAAGTTGGTGGAGGCCACGTGACACGAAAATGGGCGTAACGCCGCCACAAAGGACATCTTTGCTTTCACAAGGAAAACATCTGCCACACCAGGAAACCAGGCTTAATTTTGAGCCACCATAAAAAAAACATGCGTGTTTCCGCAAGTGGTCAGTGTAGGGATTCAATTGGGCTGCAGTATCAATGGCTTACGGAATAGAATACAACCGTAGAATTCTGACAAACTCACGCCCACAAAAGCACACCACAATAGCGGTCCCGGATCAAAAGCAAAACCGGCCAGAAATAGGGACATTAATTTGACCCACGGCTCTCTAGGATGAACCTATTACTGTGACTTAAGTTTTAAACGCGACACTGATTAACCAATCAAAGCAGTGGAAATCGCCTGTGTACCAATCCAGTTTGAGTACCCGACGGATGACAGTTTCACGGCGTAAGTGTCAAGAAGACAACACGACAGGCACTGTTTCATTACACCTACATGTATCATCATTCAACAAGTCCAACGAATTCCCGTCTCCGATGACGGAGGTGAGAATGTTGCTCCCACCACCGAGCAATATCTCGTCCAGAGACACCTGCTTGCCACCGGCGCGCTTGCGTTTCTTCGGTTCGGTTTTCGTCGCAGTGCCGAGGTCGTCGTCTTCATCTAGCCAAACCATTCCCGTGGTTGACTCGATGGCGGGGAGGAAAAACGGCAACTCTACGGGCGCCTCGTCGACAACGCGGATGGCCTCGGCGTTTCGTTTCTTTATGGCGTCCAATTGGAGAAAAGCCGAGAAGTAGGACGCAGGCAGACCGGAGAGCGTCATTAGTCCATCCTGCAGCTGGTCGGGCGATACGTAGTTGGCGCTAATAAGGCATAAAAATGTCACCATCAAACAGTGGCTACGACACTTTAGTCGAAATTTGGATTCGGCGGACTGCTGTGGTCAACTCACGGAGCCGCCTCTTCGCCAGCGCCGGTGTATATGTCTTCGGCGTCGTCAAACTGTCTGGGCGCAGTTAGGGACTCGGTGGGAAGGGAGGCAGTGGAGGAGGGTTCGAGAGGAGGCGCGTATTCTGACGGGAGAGGCTTCAAGTGGAGCTTCTGGTAGACCGCTTTGTTGGACCACAGGTAAACGCCGAGACAGGAAGCGTGCGTCGTAGCAAGCACGTCGTCGGACGGAGAGAGCGCCAGTGACGTGACTGGATGCACCACTCGAAAGCAATCAACCAGTCTGTGGGGGGGGGGAAATGTCTATCAGTATGGCCTTTGAGACGAAACAATACGTCACCACTAACTGGTAATTAGTAGTAAATCATTCAAGTAACCTACACACATCTAACTTTTTATTGGTCAGAATTCGAGCCTCCTGATTCGCTATTTTCCGACAACCGCTATTGGTTAAATCATGCTGACTGTTTAATTATTTAGGGTAAATGCCGCGAACTAAAGAAGCACCGGATAACTTGACTCCGATTAGAAAAAAAACAGTGAATGTAGCGCGAACCATTTTTCTAGATCACACATGTGCAATTGACTTCGAAAAGTTTCATTTCAATGAACTTGACAAGCCAAGAAACCATTAGGTTGATGAATGGGGCGAGAGCAAGTTAGTATCGATTTTAAGGTGTTACGGAAGAGAACACTAAATGACTGCGTATACTTAGGCAGAACGGATGTGTCAGTTCTATCAGTTAATAAAGAACTTGATGATAAAAAATAAAAAGAAGACGGAAGCTTACCTGCAGTCGACGACGTCCCAAGATTTGATGAGTGGATCACCGCGATGGGCCGTGACCATTAGCGTGCCATCAGAGGACAGTGTCTGGAAAATCCCAAGAAAAACATCATATTCCACGGCCCCAACACAGTAATAAATTCAGTCTACTTAAAACGTAATAAGTAATGCAACAACGGTCAACTAAAAAAATGTGTGAATCACACTTACTAGGTCGGTACACGGGTGTGTCGGTGGATTAGAGAAGCGTCGAAATATCCGCCGAGTTAGTACATTGATCAGGATGATTTCTCCAATCGAGAGTGCGATAGCCAACATATCACTGCAAGACAAAATATCACGAAATTTGCAAAAGTCCAATTCCTACGTCCTAGCCAATCGGAATGCACCACACAACACACCCGTCCTCGTGGAATCTGGAAAGACGCGGTGGAGATGGCAGTGTGAGGGCCTCCGATATGAGTTCTCGTGACGCGAAATTCCAGAATTTGACTTCAGCCTCACCAACACTGGTCAGAAGTCGGTTGACATTTGTTACGTGGACGCCGACGACGGCTGAGTTGTGGGCTGTCGAAAAAGCAGAGTTGCAGTGAAGACAACCTCCGATGGGCAGCCGCATTTCTAGCCAATCAACGTAAACCAGCTTCGACCAATCACGCTCCAGGAAAACATGATTGGCAGATTTCTTTGAAAATTACAATGTATCTAGGATTTGTACTGCTAAAATCCATGCATAACTCATAGTTTACACGTCAGAGAGCTTAGGTTAATAACCTGTCAGTTGACAGTTTATAATTCAAGAAATCTTGCTTACAGTTTGAAGAGACATACCGGTTTCGTCGCCAAACGCTCCATATTCAAGTCCTGACTGAATGTTGAACTTAATGATATCTCCACTAGAGTATCCAATCACTACAAAGTTGCCACATCGCGTCATGCACAGGCACTAAAAATGAACACACAATATTACTGCTACTTAAACTAAATGAGTAAAGGAAGAAAATGTGTAGGTACCGTAGCGATGGTTTTCTTGTGGATTCGTAAGGCCTCACCACCCCGACCGTGAAATTTCTTCGGGTCAAGCCAGTGTTTCCCACGGGTGGCCTTGATGAAATTCCATGTTGTGACTTCCCGTCGGTTGCTATGGACAACAGCCAGCGAGTCCCAGTCGTGAGCACGACCCGGGGAGACAGCCAAGGCGGAAGCTCCAGGAAGGAGCCAGGGAATGCGATCGACGACTTTGAGCTTCTTCGCCGAGGGCATTCCAGGTGCGTAGGCCCGTCCGAGGTTCTTGTCATAACGCTCGTTGTACGTTGAGAAGATCCTGGGAAACAGGGAGAGACACAAGACATTTCAGGTCAAGTGTAAAATACTACTCATAAATACTGACATTGCCAGAAATCTGGGTGGATTTTTTGACTCACCGAAGCTGAGAATCGGGTCCAGATGAAACTAAGAGATTGCCACCCGCGGAACCACCTGTCCAGAAAGCGATTTTCGTGGGCGGCAACTGGTGACCGCTTCGTATGTGTCCGGTCCTCGGACCACCATCCGGTCGATCGAAGTACGACACCTAGAGATCGAGTAAATCAAAGATTAGTGGAGTTATTAGATTCAAATCGACAGGAAGTTGAACAAGGATGGTGACCGATGAAAAAACCGATTTGCCCAAAGCCGGCAACGAAAGCAAGGGGGAAATGGGTTCATGCAATGCAGAGACGCGTACCTTGACACAGTTGTCAGCGCCGTTGGTGACAAGTGCGCCGGCAGCGTCGCCAGAGGGGATGCAGAACATGCTGGTGATGCGCGCGAGGTGGAACTCCTCGACCTGGTTCACAGCTCGACACGTTCCGCCGCTTTCTTCGCTGTTTTCCAACTGCCACATGGACAGGTGGCCTGACTCCGAGCCAGTCAAGAGGTAGATGTTGGCCGTGGGTTCAACCAAACTCTCAATTCCAGCGCTTTTGAGAACATCGGAAGTGGTTATACCCGAGGAATCTGAGCATAAAACACACATGCACATGATCACATGTTGGTAGAATTTTGCCTCCGAACTATTCGAATATTAGCGTTTCAACACTTGACAAAACTCGTGGATAATTGGTACTTCAGAAGTGATGCTAACATAGTTAACTCAAAGCCACCTAGAGCGTGAATACTCAGTGTGAAGGTTATTTGTCGGAATATCGTCAGATCAATAAACCAGAAAATGACCCTTTGAGATACCTAGCTCGTAGTCTAGAAAACTGAAAACAACAAGTTTGCTACGTTATGAGTGTACACTGATTACCACGGTAAAAGTCAATAGATTTTTAAAATAGGCAAACTCACCAGATCGAAATTCGATCGAAGTAATTGCTCCGCCATCTTGAGCAACGCTGACAAGAGACATGTCATAGCGCAAGTTGTGCAAGACAACTTGACCATTACCCAATCCAATGGCACAAACATCAACCGCTGGCGTCTGTACAATGCACGTGACAGATGAACCGAAACCCTTGAACCAGTAGATGGGTTTCTGGGACGACGTCTTCCACAATTGCAGTGGGCCCTGCGAACTGCCAAGCAGAAGTTTGTCGCCATAGCCTGATGGGTGGCATATAGCGGAAATACAGAAGGTATCTTCAGGGAAGGCTTTACCAAAGCATTTTCCTGAAAAAACGGTATTACGGAGGCCAGATATGTACCCTTAGTCTTGAGATTCCAAACAATAAAAAGGCTTGATTCGTCGTAGGAGGCTAGGTAGTCATCACCGAATGCCAGCAAATGCGAGATCGGTGATGAATGGCCTTCCAATTTAAAGGCAACATGTCGAAGACCTCGAAAAGCGTAGATGGTGTTCTCGACGGCCCCATACACAAAATGTTTGTCTGAGGTAATTGCCGCAATGTCTCCTGGCAAACAATCACCTGGTGGAAATATAATGAGAGGACTACTGGGACTTACTTATTCCGACGAGCTTCAGATTTGGCAACTAAAGTGAGAAAATGCAATGGAACTTATGTTATCAGGGAGTGTATTCTATCAAGAATGTAAGGCATAACTATTTACTGACGAATAAATAATCTAAGCAATACTTTCTTAGACGCCCTGAAACGTATTCGTGCATTCTAAATATATGTTAGTAACTGAAATCAATGCACCTTAAATTGTCTACAAATCCATGCTTATGGGTGGAGAGTGGTTAAAAACAGTCACAGAAACGAATAAATAGAAGGGTTTGCTCAAATAAAGTCCTAATTACGAAATAAACGAGCATAAACAAACCTATAAAATGCATTTTACACGTCATGCTTTCTTCATTAAATTTGCTTGAACATTTAACGCCAGAAAACAGGAACAACAACCACGAGTTTCAATAAAAGCCTGTCTTACCTGGTAAACATTAAAGCGTTCCCCAATAGGGACTAAAATGTTATATTCCTTTGCATGGGGTTTATATTTAACAACAAAGGGAACATTTGTTGAGGCAAGACCCAGTGCCCTGAAGGGTTGAAATATCGACGACGGGGAATACATGCTCCGCACCGACCTTGTTTTCAAATTATCCACGTCTGAATGCGGAGATCTAATTGGGTAAAATCTAACTTCTATCTAATAAAACATAATTTACTTTTTCTAAAAACGTACTAAGGTTATAAATGTTTGGTTTTGCGCAAATATTCGAAATTTTTTTAATTAAAACCAATCTACTGAATATTCAAAACCAAACATTTAACCCTTTACTTAAATGGCGTCGTATTATCCTGTCGGGTGCATTTAATTAAAGTACATTAAAAAATTTAAACTCGTTTGGTATCGCCTGCTCAACATTGCGACCAACAATGCATTTTACGCTTCCTAATCCCTACAAAATAAAATCTTTTCGCTAATATTAGCAATCACAATTTTTTAATCTTGATTCTTATGACGGGTTTTGTGGTAAGTCTACATATTTGATTTTAATTGTGGCAATCATGTATCGTATTGTTCCACAACCAAGCATATTACAGCCATAGCTTTAGTCCGTTAAATGAAAAAGATTTTATATTTTAAAAGCACTTTCGATAATGTACTTCACCGTTACCATCTCTGTCAATCCTGAAAGTGTTGTAGAGTCCACAATTAGTCTCTTTGTTACGTAACTTGACAAAAAATGTTGATCTAAATTTAAAAGACCATATCAAAATTGCATCGTTAACTACTCTAGCCCTGTCATAAATTCTATGCAAATTTGCATTAATTTATTAATGTTCATATTTTAAAAACCTAGCTATAAAGAGATTCCCAAACGCAGGATCGTGGACTAAAGTGCATAGTGCAATGAAGCTTAGGTACAGTTTATCCTTAAATGTAGAAAATTTGGCGCGGACATTATGTTATACAATAGATTTTTGAAACCCAGCTTTCCAGGCCATCTTAAAAGCATGCGCAGTGTTAATAAAAACATTTGTTCTCTTCTTTAACTTCTACTTTCATTTGATTTTTTGTCATTCATTTATTTTTTATTGAAAATCTTATCTTGATTTCGTTGTTTGTGCCAGTGTCACGGGTTTTACAATTTGAATAATTTTTTGTTCACTTTTTGGTTTGGAAAAATACTAGAATATGTGACAGATGCGGCGCATAGTATATTTCGATTGCAAAATATGCTGCATTTAATTTGTGGAGAGTTTGTCTAAAAATATCATATTTGTCATTTTATCGTACATTTGTGCAGTATTTAATATGAACTTGATTGCTTCAATGCCATTTTTAGAATATAGACAGGAACCTGTCACCCTTTCCTGCAAGTATAGATCTTCTTGATTAAAGTTCATGTTTTGTCTCGAAAGAGTGAAGTAAAGAAGCGAGAATAATCCTTCAGTTCATTGCGCTGGTCTGCATCATATATAGCTAGTTGCGCTACCGGCAAAACATCCATTTTATGAAATACGTCTGATATTTTACAAATAGGCTTGTCTCTACAAATAAGTTACAATGATATACAAGTGGTTTAGTCTACAAAATAAGAAGTGCAAACGCATTTTAAGGGCTGGAAATGCTGGGAAATTTGAACAGAACTTGTTAAAATAAATTCAACACAAGCAGAAACACGTTACAGCTTTTTGGTACATGATTGCCTCAAATTGCTTCATAATTTAAACTTTATTTTACACGTTTGAATTCATAAACTGAACACCAAGTAAAAAATAAGCTTGCGTTTTTAATCAACAATATTTTTAAAAGTGTTCTGAGGATATCTCTTGGAGCATATGCATGCATTTATGACTTGTGCTTAACGCATATTTCGTCATTATTCATGAATTTTTGCGCAATATAAAATCAAAAATGGGCATCAATATTGATCGGCGGATTTTAAATGACCATAACCTATTTGCAAGATATATGATCACTTTTCCTTTCTACATGATCTGACGGCTTTGCTTCACAAGCTTACAAATGCACTTTGCGATTTAAGAAGTTGCTTACAATCACTGGTCAAACCACGGATCCGGTCATTCATGCACACCAAAATTTGCAGCCGTCTAAGCGATTTTCTTTAAATATTTTTAACTTTTAACCCGGTCAAAGGCAATGAAATAACTGTTGCTGGGTCGCGAACTTTAGTCTGCATTGGTACCACTTGCATTCGTAGTACTAGATGGTCTGAAATGCAAGACTAGTTTGAAATAAGAAGCTTGCATCTGATAGGTCATAGCTAAGCGCGGTGTTAGTAGTAACGTCCGAACTCTTCAGTGAGGAGTTTCTAATATGTGTGAACTATCGATCCTCGTGAAGGGCAGGTCCATATTTTGAGAAATCTTCGATCTACCATCAAGTCCTTAGCCGTTCTGAACTAACTTGGATTTCAACAAGATGATAGACACATGAGCTTGGCGTGTCAACAAGACTACACTTGCTCGATTCTTCTAGCGAAAGTGTTACGGTTTACCGTCGCACAGACACGAGACACCGAGCACAAATAATTGAACCCCCTTGAACACGACTCCCATGTATTTGACAGTGACAAAACACGAATGAGGACAATTCGGGATAAGAGTACACTCTAAAAGTATTAACCAGTAGGTTGGGGGCGGCCTGTATGAAATCGAAATGGTGAATAGACACACGAATGGCAGTGAAAGTAGAAAATTGACAACATCCGTAATGAAAAGCAACCTTCTGAATGCTGTATCCTTAGAAAAAAATGATTAGGTTAATAATGACGCGGATATTACTTTCTGTGGGCTGGAAAAAAACCATCAATTAGCCACATGCTTCGCCGATAATGCATTCACGTACGAAAATTTTGTTTCAATTTCCGTGGATTCTTTTGTTTCCCTACTTCATGTGTGTTTGCGTCAATCGGATATTTAATAAATCAATTTCTGGTAAATCGAAGGCACGAATTTATTCAGATTTCACACTCCAGATAGTGCTTGTCTTTCAACACCTCAGTAGACATCTTTTGCAGTTAATAAAAAACAGTTTTTTCGTTTCAATAATATCCTAGAGATTCATTTTACACCCTGATTACACCTGGAGTGTTAATGCGCAAAAACGGATTATCGAAATTGCCAAAATTTTGGGCTTGTTTCCTTTGTATCTGATAACTTCTACTAGCATGGAATTAACCCGAGTAACATTTTTTAACGTTTTATAAAGAAATTACACAAGAAAAATTTTTAAAACTACTACTTAGCTATGTGTTTTGATTTACAATGAAATGTATCAAAATAAATCATGAACTGTGTGCTTCCTAAAAGTATTTTTTGTAGTTGTATTATCTTTTGGTAATTGGTTTTGTGAATAAGTGCTTCTCAGATTTTTGCCCTAAGTCTAAATTAGCTATCAATAATATATTAATTTAGTGCATTAGCGTTGCTATGAGAAACGGCCAACGCAATCACTACTGTACGCATTAAATGCTATATAAATCTGATGCTTGTTTATAACTCATGTCGCTTTAAAAGCTAGTTTAAAACACAGAAATGCATGTTTATTTATTAAAGTTGTTTCATTATCGGCCCTAAAATATCATTCAATTTGTCGTGTCGAAATATGAATTTCAGTAACAGGAAACTACAGTAGTGGGAAATCAGACGACATTCGGAATTAATCTGAATCACTTAACAGTCTCATTTATAAACATTCTGTGACCTTCCATAGGCGGCCTTTACACCTGGAACACCTAAATTTACCAGTTAGGAGTTGTGGCTGAAGTAACCTTTAAGCTGTCTTCTACTTCGCTTTCTGAGTCTTGGGCTGCCGAATGTGTTCCTAAGGCTATGCAGACACCCTGATTTACTACCTCAACTACACATTGCATTCCTTACGGATTTCCATTTTCACACCGATGAAGACGTAACTTAATAATCATAGCAGTCGACTGGTTCACGCACTGATTAATTTAGGTAAAATTTGTTTTTTTACACAACCATGTGATTCCCAAGTCATCTGATTTGAAATTTTTGTCAGTTTACCTCACATGATTTCTGACTCCGTTTCCATGCGCGGTCGCTACGATCTCTGTGAAGTAATTCAGGCTATACTTTCTCAAAACGAAGCTTCCATAAAATTCTCGGTTCTACTAAAACAAAAATAAGACGTGTGATTGTTGCTTGTCCGCGGCCAAAGAGGTCAGATTTGTAGTTGCACTTTGGCCACTCGCACTGTTACAGTGCATCGGTGTACCTAGGCATTATTCAGGGAAAAAGTGATCTTTTTCCACGAAGGCGTACCGTAGGTGTTTTTTTTTACTGCGCTGCGGCGAAGCAAAGCCTTTTGTTTTCTTGATCCTGACAACTGCATGCAGATACAAGGCATAAAATTGGTAGAACATTTGATATCAACTGAGGGCTTGGCATTTTTGCGAGAATCAGTGTAATTATCGGCAAGAGCCCCAGACTAAAATTAATCAGCTGTGACGCTTTCTTAGTGGCATGAAACAGTGTGCCCTAATTGAGCAGTTAATCTAAAGAGTCATTCAGATAGAACAAAGAACAGGGTTTAATTGACGTTATCAATTAAAAATAAGTCTGATGGGAAATTTTTCATCTTCTAACGAGCTCCTTTTATCTGAACAGTTGCACAACGCACAATGCCGACTTCTGGGTGTTCCTGCATGCAACGTTTTTCAGTCAGCAGCATGAATAATTCAACATTTCCCAGGCACAATAGGATTTCCTAATTTTGTATGCTAATGCAAACTGCTTGTATAATTAAACCCATCTCGTGGTCACTGGTACAATGGTGCAGAGTGCTTTTGAGAGGACACATTTGAGGCCCTAGATGACTGTGTTGGTGAACACAAACATTAGCTACATCCGGCTGAGTCGTTTAGTCTGAGAACAATCAAATGAATAAGGCCTTAATTTGCAAAACACCTTAAATTACGACATATTAGTCCATTATTGTTTTCAAAAAAATTATTAAACCGTGGAAACATGCATTCTACGTTAGCCCATGTAAATCTAGTATTACATTTCCTTCCACTGTAACCACTCAGTGCAAACCATGGCTGTGAAAAAAGTCATAAACAGTTGTGTGATTGATTT